TATTGGTAAAATTCTTCTATTTGTTTTTCGCCATGCCAGCCAGCTTTTTGTATGTTGACCGTCGCAGCGTTCAAAGAGGAATCTTTCTCGCTAAGCGGTAAGCTTACTCGGCGGGCAATTGTGATAAGGGTGCGTGTGTCCACAGAGGAGGCGATGTCGGCGCGCTGCGGCGTGCTGGTGCACTGCGTGGCGGGCGTGTCGCGCAGTGTCACCGTCACGCTCGCCTACCTCATGCAGCGCCACCGCCTGTGTCTGCGCGACGCCTTCGAGCTGGTGCGCTCGCGCAAGACAGACATCGCGCCCAACTTCCACTTCATGCGGCAGCTGCACTCGTTCGAGCGGGACCTGGGTCTGCACGAGCACAGCGCCAGTCTGAGTAAGGTCCGCACCGCACCGCGCCGCCCCGGCCCGCGTGTGGGCGCGCGTGTATACAGTGGTGTCCCCGCAGGTGCTGGAGGCGCTGGGCGCGCGTGAGACGGGCGCCGGGGGCGCCGAGGCCGGCTGCGGGTGCGCGGCGCCGCAGGGCGTGTCGCCCGACTCGGGCATCGAGTTCGACCGCTGGAGCGCGGCGCGCGACACGCCGCAATGACAGTTCTTCTCGGCGCCGCAGCGGCCCCCGCCCCCCTAGTTCCCGCACCGCTCCCCCCGCGCCGGTAGCGACCGCCCTGCCGGCTGTGATTTATCTGTTAGTACTAAGTGAGTCGGTTTAACGTAAAATTATCCTATAAACATAATTTAAGTCAATTTTATAAGTTCGACATGTCCGGATGTACGACTTGAGATGCATTCCCGAGTAATCTTCCATTACGCTATGCATTTTGTATCATTTTGAAGTTATTTTGTAGTGTGCATTGTACTATGTTTTATTGTTAGATTCACAGAAATTATAATAACCATTTGACGAGTTGTGTTGTCCATTGATGTTTAACCTCTGTGAGGGTGACGCGCCGTGTAGAAGAGGTGACTACACGTCACTAGTGCCACAGCATTCAATCCAAAAACATAATACAAGGTATTATTTGTTAAGATTGGAATTATTATGAGTGTTCGATTATAATATTTTTTTACATTGAATTAAGTCCATTTTTTAGTAGAACATTGTAATGACACGGGGCTTCTAATATCTCTTCCATTGTTGTTGATATATGTATATTGTATTAGTATGAGAGTGAGTGCGCGAACGTGCGTGTGATATTATTATATAGTCGTAACTATTGGTCGTATGAATACTATATTTACAATTTTACCGCCACACTAGTGACCACTGCTGCTGGCTCCGACTTATCAACCGTGTGTCACTCGACCGACATATATTTACAAATTGATAAATATTTTATACGAAAACAGATATAGAATGAATGACTATTTGAAATTATTTTTATATTAGTTTACTGGTCTTAGAATCTATTAGCAGCCGAACAATTAATGTATAAATGTTCTGGTTTGTGGTCAGTAACAATTAGTGTGGAATCTATTTATAATTCACACCTACTACGTAACAGTTCGAATGATAAGGTCTTGATATGACTATTTTTATATGAATTATAATACACAGTATATGCAGTACTCTAGCTATATAGATAGCATATTGAATATGCAATAACACTTAACATTGCAGTTAAAACCCGAACTCGTTAGTATTGTGCTTTTAGTTTAGCTTGGTTTCCTTACTAAGGTAAAGTGAGGTGCCTAGCGCCTAGCTTACTAGAAGGAAACCAATAAATAGTAGCAGGTTGTCGCACGACCAAGTACAAATATATTGAGAATCTCGTGCGAATACCTTGACATGATGCACTTTAATGTTTTATATTACACACGGTTAGCTATAGCAGTCCTATTATTTCCCACAATTCTTTAAAGTATAACTGTGGGTGTCAACTCAAAACGCCTGTTATAAGGTAAGGTTATCTAACTCGTGTGGTGTATGTGCCAATCCTTTGCCTAATAAAATTAGTACAAGCTTATTTTATAGCCATTACGCCTTGAAAGGCAGGTTAGTTATGATTAGCATGAGTACAGTTTATTTTATTAGTAAGTTAATATTAAAATTGTGTGATGGGACGGCAACGAACCTTACCGCTTAGCGACGCGGGCTGTACTGTACATTATTATCAGAAAGTGATAGCGAGTTCGGGCTTGAGCAGCATCGTACAAATCCTCCGCCTCGCAGCCGGGCAAAGACAGTAAATACGTGATATTTTATTTTACTATTGACGTTTCCATTGGCATTTATCATTTACTGATTTGAACATAATTGTATATTTTTCTATATGTTGCGTAGTTTCATGAGTTATAACCGATAGTATGTAAATAAAAGAAAGGCAAGCTTTAATATTAAGTATGTTAATTATGATTATGAAATGTAGAAAAATTGTTACAATGTAAATTTGTTATAGATTAAGACTTAATTGAGATTCCGCTTCCTTAACATTGAATGCCAATTTATTACGTAGTATTTGGACGTCGATCCAAATTAGCTAACATTTATGTTACTTTCTTTTGTAACGAAAATGTTAATATCTTTTATTTTTAGATAAATATCTTCCACGTTAAACTAATATTAGACACAACCAGTTTAGCGGAGTTGTAATTATTGTAAGTCACATTTCCAAACTAGTAAGGTGGAAGATTATGCCAAAGTTCACTGTCATTTAAAATTACGTCACGGAAAATAAGGAAATATTAATAATCCACCGTTACGAAGTAAATATTTGTTACTTTAGTTTAAACAAAATAATTTTAGTTGTTTTGGTACAAACCGCCTTTACATTCTGAATGTTTCTAATTGCACTATATATTGTAAAATTTTATATTTCTAGATATAACGTAATATTATAATTGTAGTGCACAAACTAATGTCTGTTCGATGTTGCCGTTGTGCAGTCAATCTGGATGGAAACAAACAAGTTATGTATATAGTATTGTATCATTTCTGTTATGATATGAAACTCATGTTAACTGATGACGATGTTGATAATATTTTAGAAAATCTTTTAGTGCTTTTTCCTAAAGGTACCTAAAGCCACAAGGCACACGTAATATTAACCTCAAAACAAATATAAACACTGTTAATCTATTACAAGTTCTTTGATTTATTTTTCCTTAGTTCCATATGGTTTGTGTTACGATTTGCAAATTACTGCATCCAGTCTTAATGTTTTCATTACATTGCAAACATGAGTTCATTTTGTTTTTGTTTGTGGTTTTAACTGGTTTTATTTGCTATGTCTTATACACAATTTCACACTTTCAAGCCGAGTTTTATAGAACGATACTCAAGCAGAGATCTCTTTACAAGTACAGTGAAAAAGGGGTTTATTGCTTTATCTATTGGAAAACCAACAGCTTCACATGGTAACCAAATAGTGGAAAAAACATCAGATACAAATGCATTCAAGAGATAGGTATCCATGTGTATCCCTTGTTAACTTTGCTTGAGCAGAGATCTTCGCTCGAGTTTCGTTATATAGTACCGGCCATAAACTCATTTATAATTCTACATACAAAAATGCATCCCGATTTCCCTTGATCATCGCATTATGCGTAAAGGGCTGATTTTGCTAATTCCTTATTTTTATTATGTTCGATATATTGCCAAAAGGTTCATATAAAAACCCGATCCTTGTCGGTACAGATAAGAACATTCATTTAAATCATTTTAAACAAAATTTAAAAACTATCTGTGTAAATAGCAGATAACGAACTAATGCATCAACCCACAGCCTAAACTGTTACTTAAATCGTAGAGACCTTATCACTGGATGACCTGGAAGGTAAGAAAGGATTATCCGAAATTTTAGCGCACAACGCATGCATATGTATGCATCATTATCATCATCTACAAGTGTCCACTGCTGAGCTGAGCAAAGGCCTCTTATCACTCGGAGAATGTTAGAGCATTAATTAATCGCTACGCTTGAACAAGGCGTATTGGCGATTTCAAACTTATAATATGAAATTATTAGCCCAGGTTTCCTCATGATGTTTTCCTTCAGTCTGTCAGTGGTGTCTAAATACTGTTCATCATCATCATCATCAGCAGCCTATAAATGCTCACTGCTGAGCAAAGCCTCTTCTCACACGGAAAGGTTTGACCATTAATCCCCACGCTTGGTCAATGCGGGTTGGCGATTACAATTAGAAATCGGGATCGCGGGACGATCTCCGGCCACCGTAAGCGCGAGCCTGCGGACGGCGAGCATGGGTGGCTCCCCGTCCGGCCAGAAACAGACCCGAGCGTACGCCACGTCGCGTTCTGCGCGCGCCTCAAAGAGCCATCAGACCACCACAGATGGGGCCCAATAGGGCCGATGCCGATTCGGAGTCACGGAGAACCTAACGAGTAACCGGGGCTCCGGCACGACGTGCAGGAGAAGGAACGGGGTGGTTTTTAGTCAGTAAGAGTCCGACACTCCCTCCCGCCTCACCCAGGCGGGAGCAGTCATTCGATGATTTTCCCCCCTTAAAAAACCCTCATGCACGAGAGGTGTGCATGCATGCATCTTCAGCTCCGGGCCACCACGATGTAGTGTAATTTACAAACTTTTGTAATCAAAGCATGTTCTCAAATGTCATTTCTGTTTCTATATCATATATGAAAATGTACCAGAATACACAGGGCTGCAGAATACACAACAAAAACGTGCTTGTTCGTTTTGTTGCAATAATTCATATTTCGAACAAGGTACTAGGAGTTCATAACAGCAAGAAGTGCGTTTGTTTATAAAGTAGCCATAATATATTCGGATATAGGTGCTGTTAAAATAAATACTGGGGCGGCACAATGTGGTAAGTAGGGAATATACAACATAGTAAAAAAAAATAGAAATATGTATAATCATTTTGAAAATATATAATTATATTAAGTGAAGCTATTGCCGGACCCGCAAGTATAATATATAAAGAATTAATTGATGGTAATTTAAATTGTCGAAGTTGGTAGATTATTGAAAAATTAGGTCCTACGAGTGGATTTGGTAGATATTGAAATAAAACATGGATAATGTTACTTTATTTATTTTCAAAAGAAAGGAAGGACAATAGCTACCGTTAATAACAAATATAATTAGTTTTGCATAATAATAATAATCATTCGAATTGTTGCTTAAATATTCATGATATCTATGTTGACGTTTTCAAGCGTAATTATATACAGTATAGCTATAAAAATCATTAAAACTCCTTTCTAAAAATTAATCTCAATCTTTCTCTAATTGACTATCGTTGGGTGTATACTGGGAACTTACGGAACTGAATTCCCAGGAACTAATCTAACTCTACCCTCACGTAGGCCTTCCATCTCGTCGACTCGTAGTCAAACAGTTGCTACCTCTCTATCATCGAATAAACATTTACATATACAAACAGGTGTACAAAAAACCTTAAATAATCACAAGGATTCCTCTACCTACATTATATACAGTAAATTGGTGCTATAAATTGTTAACCATAATAATGTAATGAGTAGCGACCTAGTGTTCCGACAGCCAAGTTCTATAGCTAATTATGTGGATTGTATGTTGTGACCGAAGTAATAAGGTAAGAATTTCACTATCTACTCAATTGACTTATGTTTTGTTACATGTCTGTGATTTATAAGCATTATCATAATTAATACTGTTGATCTATCAGAGGTTTAACGTAGATGAGTAAACAAAATAAAGAGAGCGGCCTCTTGGTCTTAATTTGTAAAATAACAATAAAGCTCGCACATTCGCTGTTTCAACATTCGTACATTATATTTAAACATTATTTTGAGTAGTAAATGTCCTATAACAATTTCAATACACAATTAACACACCTCTTGATAAATCTTGGTTGCCACTAAATAAACAATAAGTTCGCCACTACATGCGGGTTTGCCACCACGGAACATGTTTTGGCACAAACACGTGCTTACACTATAAAATTTATGTATTTACAACAAAGTCTTCACAATATCTTATTGCTTTTTGTTAAAATTCGAATTGTAATAACAGGGTCTATCTTTGAAATAATATTGGAAAGATAACAACCGCTATAGCGGAACATATAATACATTCAGGTTTCATAGGAATGCTTCCATAACATACATATTTAAATAGAAAAGAAACAATGTTCTTTGGAATGTCACGAAGTTACAAATAGAAATGTTGATGGATTACAATGCATTTACTACGTCGCGCTGTGAACATATGATGGATATGTAAATTTACTTTTTAAGGTACATGCAAAGGCACCCACTGATGTCGACTTATATTTGGTCCTCCCGGAGAATAAACTTTATAATTATTTAAACGGAAAAATCCATTATACGATATACATGGCACAATAGTTCCGACTTTAATTCATAAGATGTGCCCGTTGACAATAATATAATAAAATACCGAAAATATTAATATTATAGTAATATATAAATTTTGAATTTTATAATCAACTATTCCCTATATTATTACGATATGGTCTGGTAAATTGAAATGTATAAATATAAATTATCATTGCACTAGCTGCTAAAGCGACATCTTGTAAACATCATTCAAAATTGCATTACCATAAAAATATACCTATTTGAGAAAGAAAACTCACTTCGATTTTATGATTAACATACAAAATTGGTGCCATTCTTATCCAAAAGAAATCATGCCCTTTTGGTACATGAAATGTATTCAACTTTGAGTGGTTTAAATTATTTCACTTGAAAGATCTCCTTCAGTTACTTGCGTGAAAGCGAAAATAGTGTCATTATATTCGTCTATAAATTACTTCTTTATATTATTTTACATTTATAAAGATGAGTTGCCGAAAAGCTGCATTCGTTTTTATTTATAAAACCACATTATTTTCGCTAACACATATTTGGAAAGGTATATAAAATAATTAGTTCAATATAATACTGGAACGCAATCTGTAACGTATCGCTACAGTTTTGCTATATCTCTATTAAACCACATAAAAGAGTTATGTAATTGCTCTGTAAGTACAATTTATGTACAAAATGTATGTAATCATAATGCATTAAAATTTAATCATAGTCATCATAGGGATTAATGTACCGCATCGATGTCTCGCTGCGCGCGTGATATTTTGACCTGCAAATAATATTGACTTTGTTTATTTCGGGTGTTTATTTTAACCCAAGTAAAATTTAATATGTATTCTTATTTATGACAAGGTGAAAGGGCCGTTTCAAATCATTCGCTCAAACTAGCGCTTAATTTGAAAATGGCCAAAGACTGCAGATGAGGTACACTATGCAGGATATATTCGTAGGTGTTCAGGCGGCGCGGTGCGAGTGTGTTACCTTGTCCTTGGGCGTGGACGCCTCGCCCGACTCCAGCGCGAACATCTTCATCTTCTCCTTGAAGGACAACTGCTCGGGTACTGGCGCCGTCGGCGCGCGCGCTTGTTGCTCCGCCAGGCGCCGCGCGCGCGGGTCCCTGCGACGCGACATCATACTTTATATCGCAACATTCGAACGTGACACCGCGACCACGAAAAGTGGTTACATATGAATGGTGTCTCTGCAATGTCTTGCAGTTGCACCATAACGTTACGTTTAACGATAAGTGTGCTAAATACGTCAAATACAGACATTTTGTATGATCGTATTATTAAACTATTTCGAGACAAATAAGTCACTACAATGCGCGACGTGTATAGTTATGTAGTACGTAATATGTTACCGGTAGACTTCCTGCGCGCCGATGACGCCGGGTGTGTGCGTGAGTCCGGGCGCGCTCGGTGTCTGCGGCGACACCGGGCCTGCCAGCATACTCTCAGCTTCCTCGATGAACCGCTAAAATACAGAGTATTTTAAGTTAATTTAAGACTTTAGAGTTGTATTCTGAAAGGTAAACCATTGAGAATAAGTATATGTATTTAAAATTGTAGGTGGGTACATACGTCGGGATCCTCCCTAGCGGGCGCGGCGTGGGCGGGCGGCGCGGGCGGCGCGGGGTCGTGCAGCGGGGGCGGGGAGCTGGCCGGGGGCGCGGGGGGCGCGGCGCGCTCGTGGAACGACACGCGCTTGTCCCGACCGCCGCCTACTGGAGACCTGCACATGTGCAATTATTTGCTTCGTGTAACTGTTCATAACGAATGTTAAAATAAGTATTTTATCAAATACACAGATTAAAACAGATCAAATACAGAGTAGCTTGTAATTGATTAAACAGTTGGAAGTTATTTTTTAATTAGAGTCAAGAAACATGTCGTGTGTGTAGAAGGTATGTAACGAATGAGAGTGTCGTACTGCGGGGGCGCGTCGTGCGCGCGCGCGGGCGAGAGTGTCCGCGCGCGCTCGGCCATGACGGCGAAGGACGAGCCGCGCGCGGGGGGCGGGGGCGCGCCCGGCGCCGGGGGGGGCGCCGACATGCTGAGCGTGCTCATTCCCGACGTCACCTCCGACACGCGAGTCTCTTCGTAGTTCACCTGCTGACGTAACAACTTGTTACTCCTCACATACTAATTATAAACATTATGTATTCACTATTACTTCTTGTAATTAAAGGAAATGACACAGATTTTCTTCAGTTTAAGTCAAAAATATTGAGTAAATATTTCAATTGTATGCATTAGTTTGCGTTTTTACGGTTTTCTGTTGAAATATATATTACTATTTTTAATAGGTGTAAATATAAGTAGGTATCGTAATTATCGCTTCATTGATATTTCAATTACAAATTCCTCTCAAATGCACAATACTTTCAATAATTTTATATTTACGTTAAAAATAATTAAAACACATTAAATAACCTGTTCGGTAGTGTATCCGTTAGTGATCTCAGTCCGTGTGTTAGTCTTGAGTATGGACTTGGGTGGGTTGGGGGGCTGTGTGAGGGTGTGGGGGGGTGCGGGGGAGGCGGGCAGGGGGGACGACGGCGCGTCGTCCACCATCTCTTCGGAGTCATCTGCGCCTTCTGCTGCGTTACTTTCCTCCTGATAAGTCGTAAAAACGATTAACAATCCAGATTTTAAAGTATACAAAATATCAGAAAATAAACGCACAAGTTTGCAGGTACAAGAATAAAGTAACAAAAAATAGCGCCTTTGGAAATTCAGAAAATATACAATCAACGTTTTTCGTACCGGTTGCACGTAAAATACACATACCTACATCATTTCGTACTTTTTTTTGGTGGTATGTGCACTGTCTTGCGTTTATTCTATTCACTGTGTGTTGTGGTTTTACCACATGCAATGCACTTAATTAAGTAACTCAGTATTAGTTAAGTATTTCCTAAGCAATAGTTTGTTGAATAATTTAAATAAGTTTATATTCTTGTTTACCTGATCATGCTGAGTGGCTCGCAGTTCGAAGTCTCTCTCTAGTTGTAAAGCACGCAGTTGTTGATTCTGAACGGGCGTGCGCGCCGCCCCTAGTGATATCAACTGGGCGATCGTTGCGTCCCTACAAATAATTTATATATATAGATATGGGAACTTAACTGTCAGAAGAAGTAGGTCGATTAGTTGCAAGGCACGCTAGAGGGTTCATAATTAAAAGTAATATTGATTGTGACGCGTATTTTCTTAGCTATACACCCCTAGAGTGGCTGGAAACGACTACATTTTAGTCGAAAAGATTAAATTTTCCTGGGGTTCTGAAAAATGTGTAAATGTAATAAAATGAGTCGTGGTTACCTGCGAGCCCGCGCGGCGGCGCGGCGCGCCTCGTGCAGGCGCTCGCGCTCCTCGCGCTGCCACGGGTTGTGCGGCGCGCGCCCCGCGGCCCCCCCCGCCGGGTACACCGCCACGGACGGGGGCTCGAGCGCACTCGCCACGTACCGCTCTAAATCATACCAATACATATTATTATGACTTTCGTATTTCAGTGATTACTGTACTGTAAAATGATCAAATCTATTGGACTACTATGGACTATTAATTCAGTTCCGGCGATTCTACGTTCAAACAAAATCTTTACATTTATGCATTTAACCCTTTGACCGCCACGCTAATAACGAAAAACCGTGCTCCCGACGCCAAGCAATAAATTCGTTGTATTATACCTATAAAAAAATAGTGATGGGAAACGCAAACCGATAAAACATCGATACATTTTGTTTGTGCATAGTTTACAAATAAAATAATGCTTATACAACTGAAGTTTTACTAATAATGAAATAAAAAAATATTTAGTTTATCATTATTAACCCTTAGACCGATAAAAAAAACCTTTGAATCAATAAAACATCGATACATTGTGCTTGTGTACACGGTTTACAAATAAAATAATACTTTTACCATTGAAGATTTAGTTTATGATCAAATACCTTACATTAGTGTATATGTATATGCCTCTGTAAATATTGATTTTGCATATAAAAATAACATATTACCCTATTTTCCCGTAACTAGTCGACGCTTTAAAGCGTCAATGGCGTAGGAGAGGGGTAATTTTGTCATAAAAACGTAACATAGACAGTGATGTGATGATAGATTTATTAATAGTTGTCGATATTTATTATAATCAAAGTATGACAATAAGTTCTGCGTTAGTGCAATATTTCTATTTCATGATACTCACGAAAACATGTAACACAAAGAGGCACTTTACAAATTTCACACCAAAATCTTGTATCTCGCCTTTTGCGTTTCAAATTACTACATAATTTACAACGTAATTTTTTCGAATCCGGTAAATATGCTGGCATGTGGCGTGCCGCATTTCCTATTAATCGTAATGGTTGGTCTACATTTCGTGAAGTCATCGGTAAGGTCTTGTCTCCTGCGTACTTTTGGATAATTTGTGTTACGACTGCCAGTTGGTACTTGGCAAAACGTAGTGTTTTGTTGTCTTGCAAAACTTTGTAGTAGTTGTAACCGTTTAGCAAATAGAGGTCAATTATATGAAAAAATAACTTTTTGTACCATTTCGTCACTTTTCGAATACTGTGTAAAGAACTTAACATCATGTCATTCAAGTCAATGATTCCCATGTGTTCGTTGTAATCTATAACACATTCGGGTTTCATTTTTGGTAAACCTGTGGACCGATCAATTTTTTCAGTAGGTCCCATTTGATCTTTATGCATAGTAGTGATCATGTACACATCTTTTTTGTCGTGCCATTTTAGAGCCATTATATTGGGAGCATATTTCACATCCCTCTCGCCTTTTTTCAGTTTCTTGAATTCAGGCATTTCTTTGCGATTACGTTTTACAGTTCCACAAGCACCTATATTTCGATTTAATAAAGAAATAAATAATTTGGGGCTGCTGTACCAGTTGTCCATATAAATTTGTCTATTCGAAAAGTAATATTTTTGTAAAAAGGTAATAACTATTGATCCACTTACACCTAGGTCTGCATCGCGTATTATTTCAGTTTCTAAACCAGTATATATGATAAAATCCAATATAATTCTCGTTTCTACATCACATAAGACAAACAGTTTAATGCCGAATCGATTACGCTTATTAGGTATATATTGTTTGATAATTAACCTTCCTTTAAATGGAACAATACTTTCATCAATACATAGCTTCTTGTACGGAATAAAATTAGATTGAAATTTTTGTCTTGCGTCATCTACCACCGTTATTATCTTTGACAATATTAGGTCATTGGCATGCCTTGGTCTCGGTTCAGAAAAATGCAACATTCCTAATATTGTCGTATAACGATTTCTACTCATTAGAGTTGTGTAAATTGGAGAATTCAATAGCGGATTTGTTGACCAATGCTCTTCAATCGTTAAGCGACTGTTTCTAGTCATTAACATAGTAATAGCCAAAAATATATACATTTCTGGAACGGTTACATCTTTCCAAGTCTGCAGCCTCGAGTGGTTCCTCAAATCCGTGTTTAGTATGAAGTAGCAATGATACCGATTAGTGTAGCGTATTATTGTTTTTATTAACTCTTCGTCCACGAACTTCTCAAAAACTGCTAATTCGTTTGAAGATGATGTTAAGTTTAATGAAGGTGAAATACCACTACCAAAGTCATCAAAAAAAGGAGTTTCTATTCCAAATGGTTGTCTTGTCCATTGAATAGGAGGTGGTCCTGGTATGTTCTCAACTATATCACTTTCATCCTGAACATTTGGAGGATTTGATGCTGGGAGGTTCTCAGTTAGTACAGCCTAAAAAAGATAAATGAATATCAATTAAAATTAATTATTAAGGACAGTAGTCCTTAGACAGTAAACTTTAAAGTTAATAAACGATTTTATTATGATTTATTATGGACAGCCTCGGTAGTCGAATAGTTTAGGTCGTTATTCCCACATAACACACACATTTGTGTTTCTGTCCGAGTGTAATTTGTACCCGTAATTCTTAGAGTACTCCGTGACACAGGGCGTAAGGGAGCTAAAAAACGCTAAACTAAATTTCGGGCATGCCGTCCAATCTCAGCGGAGTATAACTTGTAATGTTAGAAGTAGGTTTGTGAACTTAGAAATGACTCACCTCAAATTCATCTTCAATTTCACTGTCAGATGCAGATTCAATTTCGATTCCATCATCGACACCTTCTAAAATACGAAGGAGCTCCTCGTGATCCATATTTATCTTTAATAAAAACGCGTAACACAAAACGATCTGCTAGTGAAATACTTATTGCAGTTATAATAATAATTTGTCTTGAGGATTTATGATCAAATACCTTACATTAGTGTATATGTATATGCCTCTGTAAATATTGATTTTGCATATAAAAATAACATATTACCCTATTTTCCCGTAACTAGTCGACGCTTTAAAGCGTCAATGGCGTAGGAGAGGGGTAATTTTGTCATAAAAACGTAACATAGACAGTGATGTGATGATAGATTTATTAATAGTTGTCGATATTTATTATAATCAAAGTATGACAATAAGTTCTGCGTTAGTGCAATATTTCTATTTCATGATACTCACGAAAACATGTAACACAAAGAGGCACTTTACAAATTTCACACCAAAATCTTGTATCTCGCCTTTTGCGTTTCAAATTACTACATAATTTACAACGTAATTTTTTCGAATCCGGTAAATATGCTGGCATGTGGCGTGCCGCATTTCCTATTAATCGTAATGGTTGGTCTACATTTCGTGAAGTCATCGGTAAGGTCTTGTCTCCTGCGTACTTTTGGATAATTTGTGTTACGACTGCCAGTTGGTACTTGGCAAAACGTAGTGTTTTGTTGTCTTGCAAAACTTTGTAGTAGTTGTAACCGTTTAGCAAATAGAGGTCAATTATATGAAAAAATAACTTTTTGTACCATTTCGTCACTTTTCGAATACTGTGTAAAGAACTTAACATCATGTCATTCAAGTCAATGATTCCCATGTGTTCGTTGTAATCTATAACACATTCGGGTTTCATTTTTGGTAAACCTGTGGACCGATCAATTTTTTCAGTAGGTCCCATTTGATCTTTATGCATAGTAGTGATCATGTACACATCTTTTTTGTCGTGCCATTTTAGAGCCATTATATTGGGAGCATATTTCACATCCCTCTCGCCTTTTTTCAGTTTCTTGAATTCAGGCATTTCTTTGCGATTACGTTTTACAGTTCCACAAGCACCTATATTTCGATTTAATAAAGAAATAAATAATTTGGGGCTGCTGTACCAGTTGTCCATATAAATTTGTCTATTCGAAAAGTAATATTTTTGTAAAAAGGTAATAACTATTGATCCACTTACACCTAGGTCTGCATCGCGTATTATTTCAGTTTCTAAACCAGTATATATGATAAAATCCAATATAATTCTCGTTTCTACATCACATAAGACAAACAGTTTAATGCCGAATCGATTACGCTTATTAGGTATATATTGTTTGATAATTAACCTTCCTTTAAATGGAACAATACTTTCATCAATACATAGCTTCTTGTACGGAATAAAATTAGATTGAAATTTTTGTCTTGCGTCATCTACCACCGTTATTATCTTTGACAATATTAGGTCATTGGCATGCCTTGGTCTCGGTTCAGAAAAATGCAACATTCCTAATATTGTCGTATAACGATTTCTACTCATTAGAGTTGTGTAAATTGGAGAATTCAATAGCGGATTTGTTGACCAATGCTCTTCAATCGTTAAGCGACTGTTTCTAGTCATTAACATAGTAATAGCCAAAAATATATACATTTCTGGAACGGTTACATCTTTCCAAGTCTGCAGCCTCGAGTGGTTCCTCAAATCCGTGTTTAGTATGAAGTAGCAATGATACCGATTAGTGTAGCGTATTATTGTTTTTATTAACTCTTCGTCCACGAACTTCTCAAAAACTGCTAATTCGTTTGAAGATGATGTTAAGTTTAATGAAGGTGAAATACCACTACCAAAGTCATCAAAAAAAGGAGTTTCTATTCCAAATGGTTGTCTTGTCCATTGAATAGGAGGTGGTCCTGGTATGTTCTCAACTATATCACTTTCATCCTGAACATTTGGAGGATTTGATGCTGGGAGGTTCTCAGTTAGTACAGCCTAAAAAAGATAAATGAATATCAATTAAAATTAATTATTAAGGACAGTAGTCCTTAGACAGTAAACTTTAAAGTTAATAAACGATTTTATTATGATTTATTATGGACAGCCTCGGTAGTCGAATAGTTTAGGTCGTTATTCCCACATAACACACACATTTGTGTTTCTGTCCGAGTGTAATTTGTACCCGTAATTCTTAGAGTACTCCGTGACACAGGGCGTAAGGGAGCTAAAAAACGCTAAACTAAATTTCGGGCATGCCGTCCAATCTCAGCGGAGTATAACTTGTAATGTTAGAAGTAGGTTTGTGAACTTAGAAATGACTCACCTCAAATTCATCTTCAATTTCACTGTCAGATGCAGATTCAATTTCGATTCCATCATCGACACCTTCTAAAATACGAAGGAGCTCCTCGTGATCCATATTTATCTTTAATAAAAACGCGTAACACAAAACGATCTGCTAGTGAAATACTTATTGCAGTTATAATAATAATTTGTCTTGAGGGTACATCGATAAAATGTTATTTTTTCCTACCGTCAAATCCCAACACTATAACAACCAACGTTCTCGCTTGTGACGTCATAGGCGGACGCTTTAAGTCGTCAACGGCGTTCACGACATAGAAAAATGTGTGATTATTAGTAATGTTCGAATAAGTTGTCGATGTTTATTTAAGTAAAGGGAAAACTATAATGTTACAAGGAAACTAAGTACCTAGGTAAATAAATTATATTTATAGATCAATGTATGTCGGTACTGCAAACAAATATACCTACTTAATACATATTAGTTAGAAACTAGGCACTATGTTAAATAATAAATATTATATTATATTGAGAAAAAAACTATTAAGAATATTCTTTATTTTTTCATCTTCAAACATATCGAAACCTACTGTTTCTCTGTGTCTGATAAATCTATGTTTATTTCGTCAAAATGAGCGTTCTTTGCATGCTCTAAAAAATTCAATATTTTTATGTAGCAACGTGAACGAATACACGGTTTAATGTACATGAATTCTTCATTTAGTAATTGACAATAATAGTAGTTCCTTTTATCATCACGTTCATATTTGTTACATTCTAAACATGGTCTTGTGATATTTTTTTCAATATTAGTATGTTGAGAAGTTGCAGCTGATGTGGGCTTATGTTTGGCTTGTGTTTGAGCAACTTGGGGTAGGATGCTTGGCGATTGCTCTCTTGGGCGCTTCAAATCTGTGTAAAATCAGTAAGCGATACAAATAATAATATATATTTTTTCGTAAAATTATGTTTAATTAATACGTTACACATGTTGGCTATACTTAAGTAGTCTATTAGAGTTAGGAATTTTATTTACAATACCTATTATCACTTTTGATGTATCGACATTCGAATGGTGGGCCACTATTTCAAAATTATTAAATATTTTGACTCGAGGAATAATAATTTTTCAAGCAAATGCGGTACATACTGTATGCTAATTATATTTTTACTATCAATTAAAAAAAAATGTAAATCAAAGAAAAATAACGTAAACTTACCAGTCTTCTTCTCCATTACGGTTCAAAACGCAGCTTCAAATTTATGCGGAAACAGTAATAATAATATGCTTGTCAACCAAAAATACACAGAGCCGTTTACACGCCTCGCTTTCGACAGTTAGTGTATAATATGACGTAAAAATCTTGACTGGCACCATTTTTGAAACTACCGACCTATTATTATTATTTTTTTTCATTCGAGGGTAGTCACAACACTAGTCGACGCTTTAAGGCGTCGTTGGCGGTGTGAGTGTAACTATATAAGTAAATTTTTTGATGAGTTAATTTTTAGTATTACGTGTCCAATTATACTATAGCTCAATGGTTTAATGCATAATTATAGTAGTCGAAGTCAATATGAAGAGTTTTAAATATTCCTGATTCAGAAAATTAACATTAGCTAAGTTTTATTCGTCATTAAAAGTTGAAATGCGATGGACGCTTTAAGACGTCATTGGCGTCTCGATCAAGTTATTGAATGACGCTTTAAAGCGTCTTTGGCGGTCAAAGGGTTAAAGTATATTAAGTGTGGGCGAGCCATGCTTCGGCACGAATGGGCCGGCTCGACCAGAGTGATACCACGGCCTCACAGAAAACCGACATGAAGCAACGCTTGCGTTGTGTTTCTTCGTGTGAATGAGGTTACCGGAGGCCCAGCTCCATCGCATTCCTCAATCTCCCCAATCCCCGAATCCCCAATCCCCAAATCCCCAATCCCCGAATCCCCAATCCCCGAATCCCCAACAATCCTCAAATTCCTAATCCCCAAAAGGCCGGCAACAACGCACTTGTAACGCTTCTGGTGTTCTAGGTGTCCATGGGCGACACCGATTGCTTACCATCAGGTAATCCGTCTGCTCGATTACGGCATATGCCATAAAAAAAATAGACAAAAACATACCGTCTTCTGGCTGCACAGTACTCGACAGTGGCTGTTGCGGCTGTGGGTATGATTGTTGGTGTGACTGTGGATGTGACTGCGGATGTGACTGTGGATGTGATTGCGGATGTGCCTGCGAATGTGACTGCGGATGTGATTGCGGATGTGACTGCGGATGTGCCTGTGAATGCGGATACATTTGCTCTTCCATATCCATATCTGGTCTCCTCGCACCCTGTTACATACAATATACATTTATTTTCGATTTTTTTTTTTGTAACCAATAAAGTCATTCTTATTTTAGTTGAAAGTCTAAATTTTTGTACCTGAGGTTTCGGAGCGACCGGTGGTTGTGACCTCTGTGGCGACGGAGGTCCAGGGGGCATCCATTCGTACCTGTAAGGTTAAAATGAATATTGAGTGAAAATATGAGCATGCACGAAAAGATTACTGTTGATGAAGCGAAGGAGGTATGTAGGAATCGTAGCAATAGTCTCTGCCTACCCCCATGGGAGACAGGCGTGAAGTTATGTATGTATGTAATTCACAAACTGCAATGCAATCATAAGAGGTCTACAAAGAAAAATACATTCATTTTTCATATGAATACCGAACATGAACATAGCAGAAAAAGTAATCATTGAGTTTTTTGCTTATTCTACTTTTTAGTTATGAATCCACGCTCTGAAAGACTTATAGCTAGCCATGTTTCTATTGCTTAACGTTCAAAAGTAATGTTTGTTAATGTTTGGGTTGCGAGGAGGCAGCGCTTCGCTGCCTCACGCGTCCCGCCTCCTCCTTAGCTAGCATGACTGCTTCGCAAAAGGAGGAGACGGCATCCCAGTCCCCCTCGCTCCGCATCATGGCCTGCACTAGGCCCGGACGCAAGAGGTCGCCATCGCCGATCACTTCCCTGAGGGCACGGCGGTGCTCAGCCCACGCAGGGCATTCTCCCACCGTGTGTTCCACCGTGTCCTCAGGGCGGTCCTCGCAGTGATGACACCCGGGCGTTTCCTCCCGCCCCATCAGACACAGGTACCTCCCGAAACTTCCATGTCCGGTGAGGACCTGCGTCAGGCGGTAGGTGAGGACGCCGTAGCGTCTCTCAAGCCACTCCTCAAAGAGGGGACTTACCGCTGCAATGGCAGCGAGCCCAGCACCTATACCTTAACATGCAAATAAAGACTTGAGTTTGAACAATAATAAATGTAGTTTGATTCCTTACCTCTGCGGCGGTTGATGTTGGTTGTGATATATCTGGTGCGGACTCTGTGCGTGTACATGCAACATGGCGGGGGACGTGCCCAGCTGGGGGGACTGCTGGGGGAGCTGGGGGAGTGGCCCGTACGGACCTGTCGCCATTTGCAACTGGCCTTGACCTGCGATTACGTATTTTTTAATTAATGTCACTTGGAATATAAAAACATGTTTACCATGTGAAATAACTGACGTGTTACTTGTCGGATACGATGGACTTGCAAAAAAATTGGGGTGAAATAAAGCGCAGACCCCCTTACTCAAAGGACGGCAACGCTTTTGTAACACCTTTTGTCACCTCTACGAAGGGCGCTGTTTAATCTGATCCGTCTGTCGTTTGTTGAGTTATTTTGCTATTCAGATTCACCAACAAAGAGATCAGTGTACGGCCGTAGGGGCGACACTGATGCCTGACCATCAAGTGATCGGTTGACAAACAAAGAACAAGGAGTGTGACGTCATTACCGATGAGATGGTGGTGCGTGGGCAGGGGCTGGGTGTAGGCGTGTCTGCGCGCGACCTCGTCCGACATCTCGGCCAGCTTGGCCGCGCGCGCACTCGCCGCACTCGCCGCACTCGCCGCACTCGCCTGCTGGACATATCAACGCCTTACTATTACAACATGTTGTCTGATTTTCGACTTTATATCAAAATAATAAAATTCAGGAGGTCGACATGCTGACTACCGGACATTACAATGGGCATAGTTCCTATATAAATTCCTAGTTATTACTATATCGAGAATAAAAAGCTACGTAATGATTTGCTCGACCCGAGACGTCGCTTGGCAGCTGCGCTTGAAACTATGCATTAATTGAAAGTTAACGTATTTAGAATTGATAGATAAGGTAATTAATAACGATGATAGAAAATTACGATAAAAACTTCAATTTCCATACCTGATGATGTAATGGTGAGTCAGGCGCTTCAGCTTGCCCGCCTGCTGCAAAGTGCGCTGACTGCGGTCTGTTACTACCCGTAGAACTGCGGAGCGAGGACCATCTGAAATTAAACCAATAATTATGAATAAGCATCTATTCGACCAATAAATATACAAAGAAGACCATCATAATTATGAACTAATGTTTTGGATTATTAGTTAGCATTTTGGAGTTAAAAGGCCAGTTTTAATATTATTAATATTAACTTGTCAGACAGTTAATAGTAACTATGTATTATATATTAACAGTAAATAGTAACAGAGTCACTCAGTCAGTCAGAGTGATTTTATAACTATCGTGAGACATACTTTTTTTTTTTTTTTTTTTATGGGGGGGAAATCCTCATGGACTGCCTCCGCCTGGGGAAAGGCGGAGGGGTGTGCCGGACTCTTACCGGCTAAAACCACCCCAGTGCCTCCTCGCACGTGCGTGCGGGGCCGCGGGAGTCCAAATTCATCCGCAGCCCCGCATTACAGTGCCGGCCCGTAAATCAGGGCCCCGTCACCATCGTGAGACATACTGAATCAACTAAAAAATTACGAGTTACTTAAGTAAATATATATACTGAGAACTGGTAGAACTTTCCTCAGAGTATTGAGTGAGTGTACGTGAGTGACTCGTTATTTATTGGTAGCTTATGAGTGACCTAAGGAACAATTTAATTCGTCTTGACTAAGGCTCATTTCTTCTCCGTGTGCCAAGAGGCCTTTTCTCAGCAGGAGAATAGTTATATGGTGATGACAATGTGAAACTGGCTGTGAATGAAGTCTTGTAACAGTTACCTGTCTTGTAGCGCATGTTGTTGCGAGTGCACGGTGGAGAGGTTCTGGTAGAAGCCGTCGTGGTGAGTGGGCGCGGACAGGTTGTGGCTCGACCGGGACTTGCTCGGCCACGCCGCGCCCGCCGCGCTCGTCGCCGGGGAACTTACTGCCACGCTGCGTAGTAACAAATATTATTAGCCACAGACACTCTTACTAGTTCTTACGGTTTTCACGTTTCTAGCTTTCAAGTTGCTACTTACACTCCTGACCACTTAACTACTTGAGTATATGAGACACAATAGAAAAATAAATTATCTCTTACATGTATGGGTTCACGTTCCGATATTCTACAGGTTGAGAGGAATATGTACCTACTTAAGTTATGTAATAAAACTATTACCACAATTTTTAGGAAAATTGTCTGTTATAATTCGAATGAAGTATTTATTGAATTTGATTAGCTGGAAATTACTTGTAGAGTGGTTATTAACTGACGCATGATGTAAGAATGATAGTTAAAGCTTACTTGGCAGGCGTATGTTGGTGTGGCGGCGGCGACGCGACGTGATGCAGCGCGGGCGTGCTCTTGCTGGACTTGACGCCCGCCTCCGCCGCCAGTCGCGCCGGCAGGTCGCGCTCCGACGCGCGCCGGACCGCGCCGACCGCGCCGCCCGCGCCGACCGCGCCGCCCGCACCGCCCGCACCGCCCGCTACAACAGACACACGCTCGTCACACAAACATCCACACATTATTGGTACAGGTATACAAATTGTAACACTACAACATAAAAAAAAAACAAAACATTACTTCCTAAGGAATAAACAAAGAAACGAGTGCGAATAAATGAAACAATATCGAGATTGCATAAAAAACAACAAACAGAGAACCCATGCAGAAGATACAACGTACGCTTCGTTCAAATAATAGACGTCCTCCGTGTAATCAGCTAATGAGATGCACAAACGAAGCTTTATTATTCACATAAAATAGCATCTGGACGTAGGAGATAAATTTCATGTGAATGAATTACAAAAGCGTATCCGTCATTAAGTGTAGAAAATAAAATATTTGCTCTTAAAGTGCACAGTTTCGAAAAAACAAAAAATCTAATAATGTAACGAAAAGAAATGTGTGCGTCCAGCTATAACACACCTATCGTCATGCGTGTGAGGGAGCCTTACACGTGCGCGCGGAGAGATCGGGGCAGGAGCCCGCCACTGCCTCGCCCGGCCGGACCATGGCAACCACTCGAGGCACAAGATCTGAACATTCCTTGTCCGGACTCCCGCTCACATCCAACGATTCTTTACTTTGTTTTGCTTGATCAGAATTCATACTAGACTGATTTGACTTTAACCTAATATTATCCAACGTAATCCGTTTTGGTTTTTTGTCAATTATCTCTGAGAACACATATCCATTTGTAGTGTTGTCTGTGTGTTCTTCAGAGGGCAGGTTTGGTACTTCAAACTCATTACCATGCGCTAATGTGTCCTCGCTACCGCGTGAGCCGTATTTGGACCAGTCTTCCAACTGGATGAGGATGCTTTGGACTGCGTCATCCGATAATTTCTCACACTTGGTGTCACTAGTATCAGTTTTATTGCACTCGTATTGTATATCAGCTAAACTGGCACTAGTGGGAAGGTTTTCAATAACTTTAGGAGCCTTATCATCGCGATCGCGAACACTAAGGTTTGGACTCGATTGACAATTTCGTTTGTAATTTTTAACACAATACTTTAAATTGATATTGTTAAAATGTTTCGTTAATTCTTTAACTTTACCGAAGACAGGCCTGTATTCATCAGGAGATTTCCACGACTTTCGGTCTACACTATCTAATATTTGTTTAGCACCGGGGTTGTTATCTACAGGAGTTTGAGCTTTAACAGTGCCGACATCATATTTAACTTCATTATTTGTCTCATCAAAAGAATCAGACGTAGAGTAAGTGGACGGAATTTCAGTATCTTCAGATTTACCTGAAAGAGATGTCGACATGCTATATAACGCTCTTTTCAACCTGCACTGTATATTCTCTATTTGATCGTAGTCTTTCTTAATATCCAAGTTAAGCTCGAGTTTTCTTTTAGGAGTCGGTTCTGGATCCATTGGTGATGAGGGCGTCTGACAAACTGCGTCTGCAGTTTCAGGTTTATGATCAGAGTCTGGTTGGTCAAGGGACAATGAAGGCAATATTCGTCGTATTTTTGGTGTAGCAACTTTGTTTGGCGGACCTTCATTTTCAAATATCAATGGTTCCGAGTTTGGTTCATCGATGTAAGGAATCTGTTGTGTCTCAGGTTGAGGCGTACGACAACATTCGCAAGCGCTCACGCATTCGTCGATACCAGTACAACGCTGTCTATAGAACTCGTTCTCTCTGCCGCGTGAATTGAATAAATCTAGGGTTAGCTTTGTGTCTATAGGCTCCATCTGAGGAGGTAAACAGATGGAGTCTCCGTTATCACTCGACTGGTCGTAATTGGCAGGAGGCTCGGGTACTGGAGGTGGCTCATCCGGAGGAGACTCGCACCGGGCCGGTTGCGATTCACATTCCTCGGGCTGACTCGTGGCGTTACTACTTGTCTGTTGTTCATCAAAGTCCTCGCACGTGAACGTAAACACGGGAATAGGGCGTGGCGGTGGGGCATTGGTTCTTAGTTCGATGGGACAGCCCGGTGTATCCGGAGACAAGTCTTCCTGCAACTGGTTATTTTCTCTATCTAGCGTTACTATCAATCTAGGAATGGAACCGTGATACTGCGGTTGCCAATCCTCGCTTTCGTCCGTACTCGATTCTGTAGATTCATCTCTTAAGAAATGACATCGATTGTGGCAAGGCCGACGACCGTACCCTGCAATAGAGACTTCCATGAACATCAATCCAACATTTTAAACATTGCTACCAAAGCGCTAAATAAAAAAGGAACAAAAAGAACTCAAAAGAAACCTGCAAAGAATATTCAGCAAAACATCCGCAACGATTAAAAACTGCAAAAAAAGTAACTAAAAATTGGATGGCACGAAAGAAAAAGCTGTAAAAATAAGATGTCGGACAATCACTGTAAGAAGCATTGCAACCCGCCATAGCAGTAGTACATGTCAACAGGGGGATGGAGGAGTAGTATAATAGTCTATAGTGGCGAGCTCAGTCCGCGGCGAGGCGGGCCGCAGCAGGGCGGGGTGCGGGTTGGTGAAGTATAGTATAGTAGAGAGTAGAGTCGAGACATTGCCTGCGGTGGCGAGCTCAGTCCGCGGCGAGGCGGGCCGCAGCAGGGCGGGGTGCGGGTTGGTGAAGTATAGTATAGTAGAGAGTAGAGTGAGACATTGCCTGCGGTGGCGAGCTCAGTCCGCGGCGAGGCGGGCCGCAGCAGGGCGGGGTGCGGGTTGGTGAAGTATAGTATAGTAGAGAGTAGAGTGAGACATTGCCTGCGGTGGCGAGCTCAGTCCGCGGCGAGGCGGGCCGCAGCAGGGCGGGGTGCGGGTTGGTGAAGTATAGTATAGTAGAGAGTAGAGTGAGACATTGCCTGCGGTGGCGAGCTCAGTCCGCGGCGAGGCGGGCCGCAGCAGGGCGGGGTGCGGGTTGGTGAAGTATAGTATAGTAGAGAGTAGAGTGAGACATTGCCTGCGGTGGCGAGCTCAGTCCGCGGCGAGGCGGGCCGCAGCAGGGCGGGGTGCGGGTTGGTGAAGTATAGTATAGTAGAGAGTAGAGTGAGACATTGCCTGCGGTGGCGAGCTCAGTCCGCGGCGAGGCGGGCCGCAGCAGGGCGGGGTGCGGGTTGGTGAAGTATAGTATAGTAGAGAGTAGAGTGAGACATTGCCTGCGGTGGCGAGCTCAGTCCGCGGCGAGGCGGGCCGCAGCAGGGCGGGGTGCGGGTTGGTGAAGTATAGTATAGTAGAGAGTAGAGTGAGACATTGCCTGCGGTGGCGAGCTCAGTCCGCGGCGAGGCGGGCCGCAGCAGGGCGGGGTGCGGGTTGGTGAAGTATAGTATAGTAGAGAGTAGAGTGAGACATTGCCTGCGGTGGCGAGCTCAGTCCGCGGCGAGGCGGGCCGCAGCAGGGCGGGGTGCGGGTTGGTGAAGTATAGTATAGTAGAGAGTAGAGTGAGACATTGCCTGCGGTGGCGAGCTCAGTCCGCGGCGAGGCGGGCCGCAGCAGGGCGGGGTGCGGGTTGGTGAAGGTGCCGGAGTTGCGCCGCAGCGCGTGCTCGTACACCACCTCCTCCACTGCCACACACCCACACATTACTACCCATCCCCACAACCTAGATCGCCATCTTCAACCATTGTTTCTAATTTTGTAGAATAGCAAACAAAATATAATCCAGCCTAATGTTCACTGTAACCATCAACTCATAGATTTATAACTTCCCTTAATCTATGTCGGAATTCGTAATAATAATACTTCTTTAATAAACAACGTTTAAAGAATTTTATTGATATTGTATTGAAACCTCCTCCTAAATGTAACAAACACTCGCGCACAAACACACACGCATACAGGTCCAACTGAGAACATTATTTTTTTAAGCCGTTAAAAAACATCTAACATGAAGTAAGAATTGTTTATCAAGCATATAATTTTTAGGCCAACATGATTGAGTGATTAAAAGTAGTGTAGACGTTGACACAGACACGCCAAGGTTCTTGATTTTTTTTTAATATGTTTTATTCGTATCATATTCAAGCGCAAACTTTGCGCAACAAGTGCAGATGATGCGCAACAGATTTCACTGAAAAAAGAACCCTAAATATTCATAACAATTTAGGTCAGTGTGTATTTCATATTAGTATAATATTTTCCATCAGTAGTCAAGGATTATACCTTGTCGCTGATTGTAGGCAGGCTGGTGCAGTAGTGTGGCGAGGCCGTGCAGCATGGCTCCCTGCTTCGCAACTTCCAAGGTCACCGTGGGTCCAGTTCGCACCAGGTATTCAGCCGCCTATGTAAAGACAAAATAGAATAGCGAAGATGCAAATATGATATTTATCACAATTTTATGACTATAAAATGGTAAAGAAATATAAAAGAAGGGCTACATCAACGTTTTTATTTTATATTATGTTGATTTTTAAGAATTATTACGAACTAGCTTTTGCCTGCGACTTCGTCCGCGTGGAATAGTGACTTCCGGCAGAAAAGTATAGATAGCTGTGCCCGCGACTCCGTCAGCGTGTAACTCCTTGTGTATTAAGTTAATGAATGGAGTAACTTCTCCCGTTTTCCCAATATTTCCCTTCACTGCTCTGCTCCTATTGATCGTAGCATAATGAAAAGTATACTATAACCTGCCCAAGAGTATATAGAATAATTGTGCCAAATTTCGTTAAAATCCGTCGAGTAGTTTTTGTTTCCATAACGAACATACAGACAGACAGACAGACAGACAAAAATTTTACTGATTGCATTTTTGGAATCAGTAGCGATCCCTAACCACCCCTTGATAGTTATTTTTTAAATATATTTTATGTACAGAATTGACCTCTCTACAGATTTATTATAAGTATAGATTAAAGTTACGTAAAACGAAATTCATTTCAAAAACATCATCAGCGTTTAGTAACGTCACTCGCACGTTGAATTTTTTTGAGGTATACTTAGCGTTTTTGCTTTTGCGGTTAAAAAATATTATTTACGTTTTTAATAAAAATTGTTATTGGGTTCATCAACGCAGACATCACGAGTTTACCAAGAGTTAGTTTCGACATGGTGGTAATTTATGTCGAGAGTCCAGACTTTTCTAATGAAGAAATGAAAGGGACTAAATTACTACGGTGTGCATGAATAAGAGTTTTTAAACTTTGTTTGTATTTGATTCAGTAGTTTCTAAACATAGCAGTTTATTCATCTTAACAAGAGAATCTTACGGCGATAACGCATGCAAATTAATTAATCAATAATTGAACTGTTTGAAAAGAAGATAAATGGTAAGGTAATCGAGAAATCCTCAACTTTTGTTCTTGCTCTTATGACAGATTTATGAGTTTTAGTTATTTTAAAATGAGATGAAACTTACATAATGTTGAAATTTATTTATGTTAGCTGAACCAAAAATGTAGATTTTAAAGAAAAACACGAATTCAAGTTAACTGAATATATTTTATTCATGGACTACTTCTGCCCACGGCTTCGCTCGTGCTCTTTTAAGGGTTTGGGGGCAAGTTTATAAAACCAAAAATATGTACGATTATTAAATAGTCCGCATATCAGTTTTTAACTTTCTACCTTGAAAATTAAGAAAAGCCCATACAAACATAAAATGGGTGATTAAAAATAAATAATAAGTAGCCTATGGAAAGTATGTAGTAATATAGGTTACTTTTTCATCCATCCATTCGTTCAACTATCTTCACTTTAAAAAACCACGTCAATTCCTTGCTTCGTTTAGTCGTAAAAGATGGACAAACAAACATTCACACACACTTTCATGTTTATAATTTAACTTTATAGATTTATATGTCATCTGACTTTTTATTTGACTCGAAGTTCGAGTTTTTAAAGAAACATTTTTTTTTTTTGCTGACATGATATTTTCATCGAGGTATCCAAAGAGGTGGACAGCTTTCTAAATAAATCTGTAATATGAGTGGGAACAAATCTTACGAGGATTTCTTGACAACTACCTGAAATATTTAGAATCTTCGGAGTTCTATCAAAAAACGAATTACGGAGTGATGAATACCAATATGTGTAATACTGTGGGTTCTCAAGGACTACCTGAGACACGAATTTCATTCGTGTCTGTGAGGACTGGATTTACTATGGAAGTTTGCCGGTCTCCTTTGTAATTTATGATAGCCAACGAAAGCAAACTGTAGGTTCGTTTTAGCGCGAAAATTGAAACGGTTTGTTTAAAACCGCATTATTTACGATAAATTAGATTGTTTATATGTTTAATACGTTTAAAAGGTATATTATAAGAGTTTAAAAAAACAACAAAATTATAAATACTGCAAGTTCCCTATTTTAACTACTTCATTTATAGATATCAATTATGATGCAAAAAAATAAGGTTGCAAATATATTTAAGGACAATAACTCTTTTGGGCCAAATTTGAAGTTATATGGAGTCTGTAAATTTCATTCTCCTCTATCACTCTGTATTTTTTTTGTATTCGTGTTCAGTTTTTGCTTAATATTCACTTTGTAAGAAGATAAAAGTTAGAACTATTGAGTATAGGAAGTGTGCGTTACCTTCTCCTGCGTGATGCCGACGAGTGACTGTCCGTCGACGGAGAGTAGTTGGTCCCCAGCGGCGAGGCGACCGTCCGCCGCCGCGGCACCGCCCGGGACTACTGACTTTATGTAGATACCTAGCTTGCTCTGCCCCGCACCCTGAATGACGTATGTCTCAGTTACATTTCATGTCTGCTACAGTTAAGATGTTTGTGTATAGGAGTGTATAGTGATTATTATTCGTAGTAAGTTTTACGTAGTACGTACTTTGGCGGCGACGATGCTGAGTCCCATGCCGTTGGAGTTCTTGTGTAGCTGTATGATGTGCAGACGCGGGTCGGGGCGGCGCGCGGGCGGCGCGTGGCCGGCCAGGTACACGGTCCAGGCGCCCAGCGCGTGCGGCTGGTGCGCCAGGCGGCACAGCCCGCCGCGCTGCAGCGGCGCCACGAACTCCGCCAGCCCGGGCGGCACGCCGCACACCACCTCTGCGCTGAACCCGTCGCTGGGGATGAGCAGCGCCGCGCCCAGCCAGGCCGGCTCGTCCAGGCGCACGTCGCGGCCGTCGGCGCGCACCAGCTCGTCCGTGTGCGCGCGCACGTGGCGCACGCCCGCCTCCACCAGCTCGGCCGGCGCCAGCGGCGACAGCAGCGCGCGCGCCTGCACCGAGTTCAGCTTGAAGCACGACTTCAGCGCCCCGACCACCTCCTCCGCCGAGCGGTACGTGCCCTGGATCAGACGCGCTGCGACACACGAGTCATTATTATTATTACTTCTGTATCACTGATCACAGCAACCGGTTACATGTAATAAAAACTGATTTACATACCAGCTTGGTTCATGCGCGCGAAATGACATTCCGCCGCCAATTCTAAACCCTGTCGCTCCGCCCACGCAGCTAGAACTTTTAGTCGTGCTGACAGTGCAGCGCCCCAACGTGCATTTATCATGCTGGGTTCTGTTACCAACTGTAAAAGAAAATTTTGTTTATGGTTCAAATCTTGTCAACAATCTGAACAACTGCACAATAAAGATAGAATAAAGTTAGAAACTCACTTTATTAAAGCAAACAGCGTTGATGTAGTGGAAGAGGTGCGAGAAGAGCTGTATGGTGAGCGCGGCGTTGACGCGGCAGCGCCGCAGCAGCACGATGGCGGCGGCCAGCGCCTGCAGCGTGGGCGCGGTGGCCTCGTTGGCGTCCAACATACCGCCCGCGCCGCCCGCCCCGCCCGCGCCGCCCGCGCTCGTCAGCGTCGCCAGACCACGCGACAGCTCTTCTTGGAAACAAGTCACTAGGTTGCTGTGAAATTAAAGTTTAATTACATTGTTTAATTTCGGTATGTATCTCGAAAAATTAGTTTAACTTATTTATTTATGTCCCGTACAACAACATTACAGGCGTGTCTCTGTTATCTTATATTTACCTGAATGCATTCTGCACAGTAAGCGAGAGCACTTCTTGCGCTTGTGTTGAGAAGGATGATATGTGTCGGTCGTATTTCAAGAAGTGCAGAAGTTCACTTGCGTTCGTCATCCAGAAAGCTTGTGCCGCTGAGTCGGTACAACGCTCCTACAAATAAATAAAGGTTTACGTCATTACGTTCAATGAAAAAGTCATGAAACCTTGTGTGTAGCGGTTCGTTTTGTGAACGTACGAGCAGCAAAGAGGTAGTCAATACATAGAGTACTCCTTTACTGTACAGGTACACTATTGAAGTAAATGTACAAAAGGCAACAATAATACTTGGGGTACAATAGCGGTGTTATCGCTACAGGCGACCTTTTCACGTATCCTGATGTCATGGGATCTTAAATATACAATTGTATAATATAGTTATTAAAAGAAGTAATTACCTGTACGGTGGCGTGTATGAGCGTGGCGACATGGTGTAAGAAGGCCGTCAGTTTATGCGCGCGCTCGGTCGGCGTCAGCTCGGGGCGGTAATGAGTCGAGGCACGGTACCTACACACGTAATCATGATACATTACACACCCCAACAAATTGGATTTACACAATAATGATACAAATGGTTGTCTGTGCAAATATAAATAATAATAATGTTCTGTATATTTTTACTTGTTTGGCTTTTGTTGGTCGCCATTTCTCACCAGGGATTACATTTAATCGGGCTGATTATTACCACAGTTCTGTACTAGGGATACACTAGCATTCCTGTTCAGTAAATATACAATTTTGCTTGCCTGTGAGTGCTGATAAAATTATTTTCCATTACAATAATTAATACATACATAACATCACACCTATTATCCCCGAAGGTGTAGGCAGATGTGCACATCACGGCACTTAATACCGCCTGTAACACCCACTTTCACTATTTTATGTTATGCATCCCATGTAATAGGGGTGAGCGTAATTTTTTTTTTTAAAGGGACAAGCCCGCCACAACCTCCCGAAACCGCTGCAACTCCTGTAAGCCAGGACCTACAGTAGATACAACCATGAAAACACCAGAACACTGAAGTCCGGCGCGTCCCAGGGACATGAGTAACTGTCTTGGTTCCCGCAACGAAGTGAATCAGAAGATATTATAAGAGGAGAAGAAAAAACTATGGTTTTCACTTCCCTCGGTGAATTACTGCAGGAGACAGAATGAATTAAGCCTAAAGGCACAAAGAAGAGACTGTACAACTGGGTGAAGCCCAGACGCCAAGCACCACGGAAATTTGACTAAAAAACTAAGTGGGTCCTTTGTGTGAGCTGTTATACTTGCTTCCAATAATAGGTATGGTAAAAACGTCTAAACGCACGGAAATTCGTTCTAGATTCCACAAGGTCCGTATAATAAACTACACCTGACGAAACGATTAAATTATTTAACATAGTGTTGCGAGGGGTGAGCGTATTACCAAATACTGGGCACTACTCTAGAATTGGAGTCTGGACTCCGTGCTACCACTAAGTTTTTTTTATAACCCAATACTTTGTCGGACCCGGGAATCGAACCCGAGAGCTCTTGCCCAACGAGGCAGGCAAAAATTAATTGCCAGGAAATTATACGTATGTATAATCCCCTGCCATAATATCAAACGAATATACTCATGATGTTAGATAATGGAAACAGATAAGCCAAGATTTTCGCATCATCCAGTTTCTTTATATCCCACGTAAAAGAACAGATTTTCTTTTATGCGTATTATAAGTACGTTATAAAGTCGTCCTGCCGTTTTATGTACGTGTCGTTACTTACAATTTATGTGGGTCATAACGTAACGTATGCATATATTATTGAATAACCTATAACACGCCAATGAATACTAAGAATAGCAAGCATTCTACAAATGGTGACGCATTTTTATTAAAGGGGTTTTAAATAGAAATAGAAAAGAAAAATATTAACCGACATAGAAAAATTTCTTTTGGCGTAGTGTAATTTACATTTAAATGAGTAGTGGAATAAAATATGAGTAATGAGTGGTTGTTCTTACCTGGCACAAAGGTAGAGTGTGTAGACAGGGGCGAGTTTGAAGGCGGGCGCGTGCGGGTCGAGGCGTGTGATGACGGCGGCCAGGAACTGTGCCTGCCCCGCCTCTGGGAACTCCAGCACGGCCGGCAAGATCGCCTCCGTGCACCCACGACCACTGCTCATACCCGCACTCATCCTAAATCATACGTTTACATCTTAATATGAATCTACACTTATACCTATGAAGGATTTTTCTTAATTGTATTATTTTCAAGTCATTTCATAGGATTTTTCAGCAGTTTATCAAAATTAAATACTAAAACGCCTTAAAATTCAAGCATAATTTTGTGTATAAAAAGCATATTCTCTAAGGATTAAGCAAGCTCTATTGTATTCGAATAAACATTTTCGGTTGGTAACATGATCGGATATTAAACGCAAAATTGATTATTAAAATGTGGTGCGCTGACATGTTGGTACGTAATTATAAACAGGAGTTAAGACCTCAACACTGTTCCACAACCCATATAAGGAGGTTCGTATCAATGATAACTAAATACCTGTTGTCATGTCCAGAGCCGCCGCTCTTCGCACTGCAGATACTCTTTGTTTCAACGTTGCCGTCCAAGTCGAACGTGGTTTCATAATTGTCTTTGTACTGTTGCACAGAGTTGGACGTGCGGTTCACATTGGAACTCTGATCTTGGTCGTTGTACACCGAGCTCGTGTGGTCGTCCTTCCCGTAATCGTCTTTGGTGTCGTTGAGGTGTTGTGACATAATGAGCGACTCGTTGTCAAGTTTGAGAGTGTTGTTGTTGTAAGGCGGTATGGTGTCGTTGGCGTCCCGGTAGTAGGTGTCTTGCGATACGGGACTCATCGTCCTCTGGTACTCTGTGTCGTTAGTCGTGTTTGCATTGGAGTCGAGAGGGTCGGGCTGGTGTGACGTCATCGACGTCGGCGACATCGCGCCGCTATTCTCGCCGGGCGAAGTTGGCGATCTAACGTAAGGGTAACGTACACAAGCGGATATTCGTGAGCCAGTGACAGAAACATGCAAAGAAAACAAACAATGATAGATGAACAAAACATAAATACACAGCTTTGAAAGTGATTAGAGAAGCGACGGGACTGATTGTGTTTACTTACACTGATAGAATTAGTTCAAATTAAAAGTAATAACAAAATGTTGCAATTGTGCGATGATATTTGAAAACTAATCGACCAAATAAATGTTCGGGTCAGTCTAGTTTATCTATAGGGCCCAACTATACACAACATAAAGAAACGAGCTGATGTACACGTGCAATATTCTCACCTGTCGTATATTGAGCCGGAGCCGAAATGTTGTGATTGCGCTAGGTTCCTGTTAATGAGGTTCTCCTGTGCCGGGTCTACGAAGCGGAACGTCGAAACACGACCGAATTTTAGTAGGCAACCGTGCTGTGACAAAATAATTAAACTTTACTCACAAAGTTCAGTAATACAACTGCTTTACTTTAACTGCTTTCCAATGGTCTTATTGCCTTGCATTTAAATGAACACTCTCAGAAACTCTACTTAACTCTTATTTAACGACTTTGTGTCAGCTTCTCTAGCGATATGAGTTTTAACGGTTCCTGCAGGACGCTCCGAGGATCCGAAATGTATATTTCACAAAAACCAGAACGTAGTTAATCGGCGCTGATTTACACAAGAATGTCCAATCTCGTGAGTTAATGTAGATAGCGGAGAAATACGTGGGTGTCTTGATGAAAGTATTTTACAAATAAAACTCGACCGTAACCTATTAGTAACTCTAGGGGCAAGTGACTGGCCTTGATCTACAAGTTCCAAGCGTTTCTGGAATGTTTTACGCAGGATTTAGGTTACTCCAACAAATACTCAATATATCATCAAATCTACATAATCTTTTCTTCGTATATTTTTTTTTGCTCTGATTAATAACGCTGTGACCGATGATTTCCAGCTAAGAGCTTTCAATGAATGTAGACTAATTTTATAAATCACCACGTAAGCTCTATATAAACGTGTATAATCATGTTATAAATATTAATGCTGAAAATTTAACGAGAACACGTTCATTTACACGAGGGTTGGCTTCATTAGGCAATGCAAACAATGTTCGTCCATGTACAATCAGGCGCTACGTTGTATTACGAATATTATTTTTCTATATAGTTAAATAGGGTTGGCATCTGCAAAACAATCCGATATTCACGTCAGTCTTTCTGCGAAGGACACATTCGCCTTTATTATTAAGTGCTCAGTAACTCTTTAATGAACTCGTCAAAATCGAAATGCTTTCAGTACTAAAACCAGTATTTCCGTTAAGTTTAAAGTTCAAGATATACGCCATAGAATCGTTTCCGAGAAACTAAGGATTTTTCCAAGGTTACCATTTGTGTCAATTGGCAATCAGGATTTTATTACTATGAGAAAAATAAGCTTTGTGTTTTGTTTCTCAGGGACATGTGTGGAGAAATTGCGCTTAAGACTTTGGGCAAGATATCTAATCCCAATGGAATTATCATTAAGCTGACTAGAATTAGAGTTTCCGCACGCGTTATTGTATCTACCATATAATAATGTTGTCCAATATTCTTTTATTATTAGGTGGTACATTTTAGAATCCAATACCGAAGGTGCATCGAAAGACAAAGACAGGCCACATATAAAGAAAGGCAGATAAGGAATAACAGTGCGGATGAGAACTCACTTGTAGACGTTGCGAGTGCATGATCCTGCGTCCGTTGACATATACGTGTGCATCGGCGTGCAGCGGCGTCACGGAGTAGCCGCCGCCTTCTGCGGGCGCGACCACACAGTGACGCGGCTGGATTGAAGGTCCATATAGCTGCAGAGTTGTGCCATTGCCTGAACCCACCTGCAAGTAAACCTTACCTCAGTAAACAAAGTAACGTCACGTTTCCAATTTTGGATTTTTGGGTGGCAGAAGAGCACTTTCCATGTTCTATTTAAATAACTAGCATCATCTGTGTAATAGATTATTGCAGATTCCGAAGTTCACATACCTAGCTAATAATATAAAAAGTGAAAGTTGTTCTAAGAGATAAATTAGGTACAGTTCTATTAAGAAATCTGGAGTCCCTTCATTTGAATTTTAATATTATACAAAAGCTACAAGAATGATATAACTGTATTATGTAAATAAACATTTTCTTTGAGATATAATAAACCTGCCGTGGTTATTTAAATACGGCGAACACTCAAAACATATTCGTGCGAATTGACTTTGACGGGAAAGCGCTGTTTATTAAATTCATAAAGCAACTGGAACAGCGTTAACTGGGCAATTGAATTATTCTAGTAGAGAAAACTACGAGGAGCATTGCTTCATATTTATAGTGTATAGCGCACCAGCGTTTTGGGTCAACAGCACTTCGAAACAGGCTATCCGGCAAATATTGGTCTATAAATAATTTATATTTCCCAATCGTGCTGTAAATCAGGAAATTACGTATTTCCAAATAACGTTCATAGATTTAACATAAAGCCGGAGGTATTTTCTTCTCGCATAAAATGGATAAGGTCGAGGAATTTGAACATGAGACTAAATTAGTTTAGGTGCCAGGGACTACCTCAGATTACAAGTTTGTAGGTCGGACTAACGTCCTTAGTTTCTCAGGGCACTTTACTGCAATTAGTTACACCCTATATCTATTGCAGCGACATCGGGTAAGATCCATATTATGTATGAAAATTGATAGCAATTACCCACAAGTCAGAGTACTGGTAATTAAATAAAATTCTTAGCGTGATTATTATGTCTCGTTAAGTGGTTATCATCAGAATATAAAACATGATGAGTTGACGACACGACATTGATCTTTCATCGACCGGCAACACTACACCTGACTGTTCCCTCGCAAAACTAAGACTTGAACAAGAAATGATTCATAATAATAGTTCTGTGTGGGTATTAGTCGATTGAATACCTGCGATTTATCTGTTCTTGTATTGAATGAATAGAATCGCTCAGTGGAATTACATCGCGTGTATTGAACCACAAAGAATATGTATGTTTCATAAAACCTACTACTCATGCAAGTTTGAAGTTATTTGTTACCGCTGAGTGCTCCTAAGGGATAGGCGTATTTCTACGCATACATTATTATGACAGTATTGGGTCATGAACAACAAACGTAAGCTTTACATGTACCTATATTAGCTTACCGACTGTAGGGACGTTTAGCCGCCCGCATATGGGAAAGGAAGCGGATTTGTAATCTGACAGGATGTGTAATTTACATTTTCGCAATTCTACCGTGGCATCCATTGTCATGTCATCCGTCTCTTAGCTCGAAGGCAAATTTATTGATCAAGACTCCAAGAGACAAATTCGTAGGTCTATTAATTTATTTGACTTTCAACGACTCCTCATTGGTCTATTCTGTAAGTCTGGATAAGGAGAGCAAAGTTAATTCATTCCAACTATTTTACGACATTAACGTCCTCACCTGCAATCTGCTTGCACCAGCAAAAAACACTTTAAATTAGATTTTCCCAACTTTTACATTCCGGTTAATCCATCTATCTAAAATATTGAGCAGTTTCATATTTAACATGTTACGATTCTCCCAAAAGTATATTTTTGAGCTAAATCCAGGTATAGGAAAGATATAGTGGAATTCGGACGGACATCCATCCGGATGTCCATTACAACCCCCACTCGCTCTACATTGGATAGTAAATTATTTAACGAGAATACCTCAATGCCGACTCGCTGTGATCATCGTCTGACAATTGGCGTAACAGATTGCCCATTTGGGAATCCAGCAGCTCCGTCTAAGTATGGTAAGGGGTAAGGAATGGAGAATTGACCGAGTGCGAAGCGTATAATATACAAGGAAATAGCAAACCTCGACAACATCTGTTATTCTGAGTCGCCGCCCGTTTTCTAGCGATGAACCGTCGGGAGACATTTCTACAAGCATGGGTTCGTTTCCGGGCCGTCCGCCAGCGGCCCCAGTGCCTCCAACTTTTTTCTTGCGCCTCCGCGGCTGCACATCCGCAGGCCGCCGCCGTACATGGAACATGATGGAGCCTACGACAAACACACATTACTTTAATATATATGACAATAAAACACAACAAAACTCGTTCCGCAAATAATACACACACTGTGCTAATTATGAAAGAAAATAAATTGTCATTACGTTAAGCCGAGAAAAATGCTATTACATAGGTAAGTACGCCAGTCACTTCTCGAACAAAGCGACCCTTCCTAATAGTTACATAAATGTTTAGTAGGCGTTCCATAGTGACAGTGGAAACAAAAACAGTGGAACTTTTTACATTGCATTTTATAGGAGGCTACCTAGGAAAGTGGGTTTTTGTGATGGTTAGGGAGGTGGGTGGTTGTCGTGGGGCGAATGCCAAATGCTAACCTACATCACTTCTTCGAAATATAATGATTGACGTATACGTTTTTAAATATTTTATAACTTTTGATTGCAATAGTGTGTATTTATATTGCATCGTGAATATTTATTTTCCCTGTGCTCAGTGGCACGTGAAGATCTGGCCTGTATTTGGAATTATTTCCGGATGTTTAATGTTAGTATACTTTGACCTCATTCCTATTTGGTGCCCATTCAATACTATGCTGCTTATTTACATTAACTATTTATTGATTTTTCTTTAATTACAGTCTGATGGTAAGACTAACAGACTGCTTGTTAAAGAAACATACAAAACTGTTTATATGTTGGTACGTAAACTTCAAGTAAGATATTATTCAAAGTGTTTTATTTGGGTCGACGTGACGCCTCAACAGCAGGTCAGCCGTATTGTCAATTATACTTAATTGATGATCGAATGTGTTGACAGGCAATGCTCGATATGTAGAGGTAGGTACCTCCATGTCACACCAAATCTGAACTAGAGTTAGACACATTTATTACAACGATTTAATGCCGACAAAACAGTTCAGCTAAACGTGTCTTCGATTAAAACAAAGATGTGTTTTTAATGTCCCAAAACGATTTGAATCTTCTGATTATGTAGTTACTAACTAGTTTTACCTACAACCTAAACCTGTGAAGAAAACAACGTATAACAAAAAGAGATTTCCTCCAACAACACTAATTTACAAGCATTTATTTCAATTTTCAATGAATGAATTGAGTTGAGAAAGATTAAGAAGTTCTAAACTTGTAATAGAAAGGTAATTCAATTATTCGCTGAAACGAAAATTATGATGATAGTAGGTGACGTGGTAGAGCTACCTTAGCACAGGTAAGTTTAGTTGGTAGAGCACTGTATTGTTTAGGCCTCCGGCGCTGGATCGGCCCCCGTTTTCCTATATTTCCGAGTCAAAATCGTGACTTCAGCTATAGCGTCCGTTCTACAATTCACAATTACAAATTGCTAACGTCTACATTAGCTTCGTTTCAACGCTTTTAGTAGATTGCCAAGTTCAAAGTTTATTGCACTCATTTAGAGCTCGGATATTGTTCAAGGCTACCCACAGTATTGCCCTTTTAGCTTCACATACACATGTATAACTTCATAGTTGGTTTACTTTTGACTGCACTCTTGGGAAGAGCGAAGTCTGAATGGTAATGCCCGTTCTTAGCCGGTTATTTGCAAACCTTGATAAATTTACAGTACCCAAGAGTACCTTCAAGTTAAATGCTACTAAAACATTTTATACACCTTAACATTTAATTGGTTTTCATGTTATGAAAATATCAGACCATTCGTTTATAAAAAATACCGCAAGAACAGAAATATATATTACTTTTATGATCGAATGGAATAGATTGCTGTTTAAATAATAAAATCTCGTTATTGGTCGTAATAAACAGCTATTTCGGGTTATATTTCGTTTGGTTTTAAGTCAAACAAAATTTCAATCTGTATTGTAACAGGATAATAAAAGTACACATTTGTATTACAAAAGAATCCTGTTACGAATAACAATGTGTGCCTCCAAACGAAAAATTCATTTTAGATTAGCCGCTGTTGAAAATTTCATTGTGAAATATTCAGGAACGAATACGATTTTAGTAAGATGATTTTAACACATTTTTTTCATGTTTGTAGAGTTTAAGCAATACAATAAAAGACCAAAGCGGATGCTTATATTTTAACACTTTATATAGAACTTTTTATGAACATGGTTGCTACGATTTTATTATCTGCTTAAAATGATAGTGGACATTACGTTTTTTAAGTATATATGTAAGCTAATTGCGTTATATGCTGTTAATTCCTGTTACATGTTGTAAACAAAAAGAAACTCCCGAGACAAAATACATTAGATAAATGAATAAAGAAATAATTAACCCAACTGGGACGGTGAGACAGACTCATTATGTAGGGTACGTAAACAAAGTTAAAGTATAATGACGCAGAAGAAACTTGGTAGATGCCGTAGGAGTAACGAAACTGAATCTATCTACATTATATGTACGAGTTAATACATAAATAATGAAGTGCTCTACTATACGTTTCATACGAGTTAAATCTAAGCATTTTCTACGTACATTTTGTCACTTTACACGTAGACTATAAAATGGCTTAATAGAATTTATTTGAAGATATTTCAGAAGCGCTTGCTACATTTAGTGGCATCGTGTTTAGGTAAGTGCACTCGAAAGCGTGTTATGTTGTGCGCAGAGTCGGGGGTGATGGAGGAAGGGGACGTGCTACGAGTGAGACAAGCCCGCTTCTAGTGTCAACATCATTAGTGTCTACATTGTCCCGTTGCTCTACTGGAGCTACGAGAGTTGCTACGGGCTACAACTTTCGTAGGCGTCGGTGTCTGCTTCAGTTCAGTTAAGATCACGTGAAGGAAATATTGACAACCAGAATATATCCCTACATTGAGTGAAAAAATCGATTATCGATGCGAATCTTGGAGGTAACAATGGATTATGATAATTAACGTAACAAAGCAAACGGCATTTACCTTGGCAAGAAGCACTTCGTAACCATCAGTCATTCGCAAAACATACAATATTAAACAGAATCAATCATATAGGAGACGTCTCTGAGGTAATGATTGATGGACACGAAGTAATAGCAGATTATTCGCTATTAATCGAGGGCGTACTTTTAGGATATTGGTAGGAAGAAAAGTTATTAATATGATTGTTTTCAAACTTGATCAATAAGAGGTATTTGTATGGAATTTTTATTTCAGTCTACAAACAAAATTGAGTAGGTACATTACTACAATGTGTTACAATATAACAGCACGAACAACATACAACTTACGTACCTGCTTTACATGGATATCTGAATTGGAAACCGGGTCAATAGTCACAAAATTGGCGAAGTGAACCTTATTTCAGCTCAAATATACAATGGAATTGTGGTTTATTGAACCATTTGTGGAATATAATACACATACATAAACAATGCACTTGGGTTTAGCAGAATGGCAAAATCAATACTTAAACCCAACCAGCAATATAAACTATTGACGAGTTGATGAACTCATAACGAAGACAGTGGTTCAGTTTAGCAATAACCGTCCGCATCAAGACGTCAATGCCGCATCTTCATCGAAATTGACGTCCTCCGGGAACATCCTGCTTCCCATCCTTAAATCTAACTTTGTGGCAGTGTAAAACACCGGTATCACAATTAGTACACCAAGTCCACACACAAAACCGCAGGTAGGAAATACAATTTCATATTTTCATACCCGACTTTCCATTACATGTATAGTTTCATTATCAATAATCGAAAATTAGATTTAACTTTGAAAACCACACAAAAAAACACTGAACACAGGACAGAAACACTCTGTACAACACGTGTATGTACGGACACTGTATAACGGGAGGAACGATTACCTAGCACAATTTCCTTCTTTTCATTTCGTAACCGAGAACTAAAGGATCTGCTGAATAGCATATCTGTGAGCGCGATAAGGATTTTCTTTAGCCATTGCCGTCCGAATACTATAAAAGCGTAGCGCGTAGTAAGTTCAAACCGAGCGGCGGTCTAATTGTAACTGGACTGAGTGCCACACCACCACTACGTCACACACAGCGTACCACCACCGGTGCCAGCCGGCCGCCACTTAAGTCATAATGCAATACAGGTTAAGGACTACTTTATTGGTTTTGTCCAGTTTTATGTGACCACTAAACGTCGATACATAGAATTATACATGTCCCATTGTACATATTGTAAGGAGCTATAACTGGTGGTATTAACTGGTTCGGGTCACAAACCTTTGGCAGATATACATTTTTATGTCTTTCTTGATAAACGATAGAAATACTCATATTTCTATTGTGTTAGTCTACTCATAAGGTAACACAAATAAGCTGCCTACATCGTTATAAAAATACACACACTTTTGTAAAACCTGAATTAGATCGACAACACGGTGTGGTCCGTGTGACATGTGATGCGACGTAGCGTGTTATTGAGGGGTGACCTATTTGGTTAGAAACTAATTAACAAGAAATAGCTTAAGATGACAAAAGCAGACTCTCTAATGATTGGAATTGACTGTTTGTATTGTAACGGCTATTTGGCGGATCGTCATCACATTGTCGTAGATGGCTATACATCGCGTGCCTGCGTGACCTACCGAATTTGTATAATCACCTCACCTGTTGCCGCTTCACAAATAATAACAGTCAACAAATCGACACACAACTTACTTCGATAGGATCGAAGTCCTTTTATTTCACGTGTCAGATTGAATAATTAAAATGTTTACAACGCCGACAGTCGGTTTGACATGAAAAGCTGAATTCAATTTTGTACCTTCAGTAGTAAGTACGTTTGATATCGATTAAATTGATAGTGAATCGAATCTGCTGAACCAGTTTATCTATTGTGTCGTCAAAGTTGTATTTATCGTAGACATAACAATGGATATTTCCGTTTGGAGATGTGCCGTACGTCCTGAATTATGATCAGATGTGAGGACAATATGGAGTACGAGTTCTGACACTTGGTAGGTACGATGCCGTAGTTATGCGGCCGGATAGAGATCGCTCAGACGAAACGCCACTCAACATTACACACTAAATGATATGGGACCGTCGGGTTCACATAGGAGGAAACCTCATT